TTATCTTTGAGGAACGTTACGCGGCATAACCGATTTTCTAGCGACAATCCGTCGCATTTGCCCCATCTCTGAACTCGTCCAATAAACCTGTCACAATATTCATACCTAACGTACTGTACAAATGATAAACTAGTTCGATACATAACCGATTTTAAATCCTTGCTTTTTTTAATCCGAGGCACAACATTAATAAAACTATTTATATAGTATTATTTAGAAATTAATTATTTTACATCAACTTTTGTTATATTAAGGCTCTGATATATCGAGAGTCACTGTTTATTGTGTTTATTATTTTTATTGTATGTATTAGAAACATACAGTAATATAGTATAATGTGTATAATTATTCATTGGAATAAATATGTAATATTTTATGATAAGTCATAAGGTCATAGCTATAACAGCCATAGGCTAACATTGTATATAATAGTTAGTCATAGTCAATTAAAATGCAAACTATAATTCGACTTCAAATTTTGTTCTATATCAGATAAATCGAGTTACGCCCAAATTACCTTTTTAAATATGATACAACTAGAGGCGATAAATAAGAAATGCTTTTGTAACCTTATATATATGGATAAAGGCGAGGTTTTACAGTGATTTGCAATTACGAAAGAGACAAGCGGCTAACTGTATATGAAGATAATAGTCTTGTAGAATGTGTGTAAAGTTTATTTGATCTATTCGTGTATAAAGACACGTTTACTCTTTTTTTTATTATTATATTATATGGAATCGAGAACGATTCCCAGAGGAACGCCAGGGCTATTTATACATTTTATGAATTATTGTCATTGACTATTACATCTATTGGCTATACTCTATCTATTATATGGGATAACTATACACAATACAATATAACTAATAAGACATAAATAAAATAATAAAGTTATGAGATCTAAGTGCACTTCGAGCATTCTGGGAAGTCTAATTTCTCCCCACTTCTGATTGGAAGTATGAAAATATTATCACTAATTGGACAAAAATAGACTATGTAACTTTTTGTTGCTACTAGGAATCAGAAACCAGTATAAGTAAGTCGGGAGTTCGCTTCAGCCCTGAAAGGTCTTTTTGCCTGGAGCGAAGCGACAGATTTAATACTTCTACACCCTTTGATGGCCAAAATTACGTTTTTGATATTGTTATAGTAAAAATAACAAAAACTAGTTTTGGTATTTTTCGGATGTAACGCTCCTGAAAAATTGAAAAAAAAATATTCTCAATCGGTTAACCGAACCGAATTATTTTATGTCAACTAGTTACAACCGGAAGATCAATAATCTCAACTTCTCGTTCTTACCTCGGAGCTTTTCTCAAATTTTTGTTTCAACCTCAGTTTCTTTTCGGACCTTTTCGGAATCTTTGCTCTCTCCTGATCATTTACATACTATATCGATCCTATCAACGATTCTCGCCGGTTGTACCGGATCAACCGATTATCCGAAATTTATTCAGATCGAGTCGGTTAACCGATTATCCGAAATTTATTCAGGTCGAGTCGGTTAACCGATTATAGCCCAACCGGTTCAAATCACTACCTACGACTAGAAATGGGTACTATGCAGCATGGTGCTTAATTGTTACATTATTATAATTATAAAAATCACAACGGATGTTAATTTTTACATAAATTACAATATGTAACAATTAAGCATCATGCTGCATATTACCTACGACATACAGAACAAGACTTTTCAGGGGCTGGGGCAAGCTCCAGACTTATACTGGTTTCCGGTTCCTAGTTATGTATGTCATTGCCCGGAGCGAAAGCGAAGGATTTATATTTCTATGCGCTTTGATAACTGAAATTTGACTGAAATTGCGTTTTTGATGAACCTGAAAATTTTGAGCTACCCCAAATCGGATTTATGATAACTAAAAATTTTAACTATGAACCACTTGCTGCGCTCTAATAAAAAACATTCCTCATGAAAGTTTGGTATTGAATATGCATATTGTAATCTCTATGCCAACCCTAACATGAGGTTTTAGTACTTTAAAGTATTACGCATAATTAAAGTTTGATTATTCGAAAAGATCTATTGACGATCTTTCATGGTCTCACTGTGGTACGTAGCTAAAATATTTATCGTCAAAACGTGATCATACATACTATAGAATTTTTCAGGGGCTAAGTTATATGAGTAAGTAAAAATTTGGGCCCTAAAAAATTACGGTCGGCATTTTGATAATTTCAGTGATATACGATAATTTATTACCAGAATGCCGACCGTAATTTTTTAGGGTCCAAATTTTTACTTACTGATTTTACCTCTCGAACACTCATAGATCAAATTTTTAGGGTATTACATCGGAAAATACCAAACCTACGTTTTTGATATTTTTACAATATATATGTCAAAAACGTTAATTTGGTCATCAGAGGGTGTAAAAATATAAATCTGTCGCTTCGCTCCAGACAATCAAAATTGTTAGTAACTTGTAATTTTACTTATAAAACTACCTTTCGTGTCTTCATAAAAAAAGATTAATTGCAAAATTTTAGTAGCATCTATATTTTATTTTTCCTTAATACCACAACTAACAATATGTTTTACAGTCCAATCAAGAACGTATTTCTAAGCACCAATAGGAACTAGGGGGAAATTAGTAAATCCGAGCATTCCTGGCATTTTTACCATTCGTGACGAGTTACACATGTGATCAAGAATCACGAGAGCATTAGTCATACCCCATAGTCACTCAGTTTGTTCTACGTATACAAAAAATATGATAATAAAAATTCTATTATGATATGAATGCCGTCCAAATCTTATTTAATAAGATTTACGAATTTTCCCTTGGCGGCACTATATGCTTATATAAAAGTATTTTTTATAAGTTTATTAATTAATTTTTCAAAATTTAAGGTGATTATAGAGAAATATGACTGTACATATAAGTAGGGTCTAACAGTATCGTAAGTAATGTAAACCTAATTTTTCATTTTAAGCAGTAAAAAATCATTACCGAACAACCAATAAAAAAATCAGAATTATTTATTGTACACCTGATTAAATTCTTATATTAATTTTATAAAGGAGTGATCATATTATATCTCCATCGCTTAAGCAACTTAATTACATCTTAACTCAAAGAAAGTCATTTAAAATACGTAAAACATACCCTGGTTGAAAAATATACTATTATTGCTCTATTGAAGCATAAACCATATTCTTAATTTTGTTTCTGTAAAAAAAATTTTAAACGTAGAATTTAAATCGTTATTGGATTCTATATAGTTATAAAACAAAAAAACGAATGTAGTACAAAATATCGATAAATTCCCCCGGTATTGTAATTAACGCTAAAATAACTGTTAAAAGAAATAATGTTGATAAAGTTTGTATTAAATATTATTGGGGTACTTATTTTCGGGAATGTAAGATGAATATAGTCCAAAAAAAAATAAAAAATAAAAAGGGTCGTAAAAATATGCATTGATAAAAATATATATACAAGTTCGAGGGGGGAAAGAGTTTAAAAAAAAGTGGTGTTAAAATTGTTTGAGTCTAAAAGTGAAAAAAATTCAAACATATCACTTAATGCTTTGCATAAAAATAAAAAAACTGTACAAAAAAAGGATGTCTATGTACATATATACAAATCTATAATGTTTACAATCTATAGTTTAAATAATGAATTAAAAGAAAAATTGTCGTTAAAACAAAATATGTTCTATTTCTGAAAGGTTTAAATGTTTGTGAAAAGAATATCTCTATTGAACGAAAGAAAAAAAAATTCATAATAGAAGATTGAAAGGCGATAACTCTATTGAATAATATGATATAGAAGATATAAATTAAAATTTAAAAAAAGCCATTCTAAGTGGGAATTGAATAACAAAATAAAATGAAGAAAACTGATTTTTTTCGATCTTATTTTCTAACGCTAAATTATTATTTTTTTTAATCATAAGTAAATCTCTAGAAATCCATAATTAGTTCAAAACCATATTACTAACATTAAAGGGAGATTATAAAACTTATTAAGAATTTCTTGAGATAATTTGCATATAGCATATCATAATATTAAAAAAAATTGGGTTAATTATATCCATAAATACCTAACCCCGAATCGTAACAATTATCAGAAAATGGAATTTCTTCTGAGTCGTCCAACGGTGATGTTTGGATATCGGAGGTTGAATTGATAAGTAAATGTTGGTTCATCTCATCCGAATTAGAATTAACCGATATTACTTGGAGATTAATATAATCGACAAGATTCGTGTCATCCAAATCAAGTGGCACACAAGGTGATGATGGAATATGTGCAGACGTTGAAGCTGATGAATTATTTGATGTACAATAATTAATTGGAATATTTGGAGACAGATAACCCGGAGAATAGCACACTTGGGAGTATGGGAAAAGGTTCAAATTCTGTTCTTCATCTGAATACATCGAAGCCCTATAATTTGGACTCGGAGAGCGAGAAACGGGTTTACGGCTTCGGGTTTCTTGTCTATTGTGACGGTTATCACGACTTTGTGAACGATGCAATGAATATTGTCTGTTGGTGGACCTAGGTGATCGAATTTCAAAAGATGTATACTCATTGCTTGTTAAAAAACTCTCTGTAGGATCTCCACTTAATTGTTCATTTATTTCTAAATTATTAAACAAATTTATGCTCGAGGCTTCTTGAGGATCAAACAAACTAATGCACGGAGTTTCTTGTGAAAATGATTCATTATTCACTGATAAAGGTCTTCCGTCTGAATTTTTGCCTAACGTTAATATATTTGCCTGAATTAGGTCTGATGGAACTTGTTCGTTACCCAGAAAGGTTTCACTAAAACTTGTATTTAAATCGGATAACGATGATGATTGTTCATTGCCTAACGCCAAAGCCCTAACAATTATGCTTGGTTGAATGTTTTGATCAAAATTGGGTGGTACTGATGACAGAAATCGAAGGATGGCTTGCCTATCTTTACCAAACAATTGCCATAAATCTTCACCCCATTTTTGGAACTCTGCCTTAGTTGGCAAACCGGTGCTCGACCCAGTTGCTTTTTTAGGGCCCCTTTTTAAAATTGATTTGCTGAAATTACAATCGCAATTGTCTTCAATGCACTTTTTGCATGGGCCCTCATTTTCACGGATGCATCGTACCCTTTTTTTTCTACAATTATCACAGGCCCTAGTAGTTTTAGAAATTTTAGGTTTATCGTTATTACTAGGTATAGGTTTTTTGCCATCCGACTTCTTTTTCGAATTAGGATTCTGCATCATCTTGTGCGACAATTACTTAACAAAGTAAAAAATAAATTTCCAAATTTATTTCTACGAGTATATTAACGCAAAAATGTATTAATGTATGTGCATTTATTTACTTTTTAACGTTAAATATTTCAACAAAATACCAATTACTATGTATATAAAAAAATATTTAATTCCAATTTCTTACGTCTGCTTTTATTAAATTTTTTTCCTTATTTACGGAATAACAGGATTAATTTAGTTACACAAATGCAAACACAAAATATCTTTTTTTTTGTCTCAAAATTATGCAGTAAACAGAACATTTAAGAATGTACCACGGAAACAGATCTTGCCCAAAGAACATTCTCTAATATTTTATTTATAATCGTTTCATATGGTGTAAATCTTCTATAGACACCCATAATTCAGAATTTCGTAAAAAAAAAAAATTAAAATAAACCTAAAAGTTACTGTTATTTATAAAATAATACTTTATTTTATTATTATTATTATTTTTGTACGAATTTACACTTATTTATCGAGACGATACAATAATTGCCAAGAAAAGGTCGGTTCCCAAAATTATGCACAACTCCTTAAACTATTTAATGGGCACATTTGGTGCGACTAGATAATTTGCACCATATCTTATACGTACGATGTGTTATACGGAAACAAAAGTCCCCCCAAAAAGAAATTGTATGTCATTTCTATTGACAATCATTACGTATTAAATAAAAATATGTAACCCCAAACCTTTTTTTTTTTGACGTACATATATAAAAAGGAAAAATACATGCTTAAAAAAATTCCGAATTACAACAGTTCTTAAACCAAAATTGTTCTCAAAACAAGCAATCAACAATATCAATGAAATGAATGAATTTAGCAAGTTATTGCTATTAATAAATTCCTGTTATTTGTAAAGGTTTGGAATAGAGATTGTAGCCGTCAGAAAAATCTAGAATTGAATGATATACTATAGCCTTATAATAAAAATTTCTACTTATTACAATACTTAACTTTGCAAGCGCCGGGTAATTACTTTTATCGGAATAACATTATAGTAAATTCAAAACACATCTGGAAAAACTTGCTAATAGTTAATCCAGGTTGAGTTAATAGACTTAACATGGACAACGGATTAGCATATTTGACTGAATTATGAAATAACAGTTTTAGTAGACTATGTAAATACTGCTTATTTAAAATATTGTATAAAACGATTTAATCATATATTTTTGTATAGTGAAGCGAGTTGAGCTACAAATCGTTAGTTCAACACACAAAAACTTTCATAACAAGAGAACTTAACGGCTTTATTGGATTTGTGAAAAATGTATTGACTTATTTCCTTTTTTTCTTTTTCTTATTGGATTATTAGACAACTAACTATTGTCGACTAGGGGCTTTCATCTCTACTAAGTACCTCAGGATCTCAAAAAATCGTGCATCTTCTATTACTTTCTTGGTATATCATTTTTTTTTCTCATTTTGAAACGATGCAAATTCTCTATCTAGACTTTTTCTCATACACATGGCTTAAACTATGCTGGCAAAATTTTGTTTTCGATGATATTCAATAGTTAGATATTTTTATTATTTACTAGAAACTGCATATGCGAGTAATTTCATCGTATAGTTGGCACTGAAATGAAATTGAATTGTGATAGTTACAATCTTGAACGTAAAACAATACGATGTGTAGTTTCTAATTATCACATACCTTAGGAAGAATTCCGTATAATTGGCTGTTTAAATTTTACAGTTTAAAGTACTTTTAAAAAAAATAAAACTACAAAAAATAAATGAATAAGAAGTATGTGGTAAGTTTTATTAGGATTATAGGACAACTACTGAAAATGATCAAAATCCCTTTTTGGTTTAGAGAAGTTAGCATTGTAATAATCTAGTTCGGTTATTGTTAAGAAGTTGATATAAAACTAACTTTGCTAAAACAAAAAAAGGATTTTGATTATTTTAAATAATGGAGTCCTACAACCCTAATAAAACTTTTTGCATACTTTTTTTTCGTTTATCTTTTTAGTTTTACTTTTTTTAAAAGTACTTTAAACTGTATAAATAATGTAAAATTAAATTAATTTAAACAACCAATCATATGAAAGTCGTCCTATGATACGTACTGTATGTACTACGTATATGTATTGTACGCGAAAAATATTAAGCTATCATATAGGGTAGAGAGAGGTATTATGGCGATGATGGGTAATGTGGCGGATAAAATATTATTGAAGTTAAACCTTGGTTTATCAACTGATTCTTATACCACTCGATTTATCTCATCAAGACGAATCTACTAATATAAAAAAAACTCGATTATGACTAATATAATTGTACAAAACTCCGGAGGGGATACATATGAGTGACGAAATGGGAAAACCTGTAAATCATTTCACATAATAAGTGAAATGATTTACAGGTTTTCCTTTTTCGTCACTCATATACGTAGTGGATGATTATCCCCATTTATAAACTCATACAGGGGGATCCCCAAAAAACAGTGTTTAAAATACCAATCTAAAAAATGTCGATAGCCAATCATATTTCGAGATCAGGTGTAACGTGAAAGAAGTGCAAAAAAATTAAAATAATAAAAAAACGCTTATATCTTAAAATTTTGCATATGAAAGTGCCTTCTGCGTACTAACAAAAAGTTTTCCTCGGGAAATTTTACTATAACTATAACCCTTTAAACCAAATACTAACTTACTGGTAGGACCCTAACCCTAAACTAATTGCAAAAAGTGTTTTTTTTTAGCAAAATTTTTTTTAATAGGATCACATAATGAGCGAAATTTTTTAAACTGGCATTGCTAGCCCCATATCCCCAAAATTCCGGGTCGGATTTAGCCCGCATTTAGTTAGCATTTAGTAATACAAGTTAACCATTTCTGGGTCAAAATTATCAGCTGGGCGGCTTTACTTAATGAGTGAGCTATGGTTTCATTAGTAAAACTTTAGTGATCTTAGGCAAAATTAGTTAATTCCGGCCCTGCCGATCATGATTCCGAAGTATTCCGACCCGGAATTTTGGGGATCCCCCTGTATGAGTTCCATTTATAGTTAATGGATATACTTTCACTGTACTACATTGTGCTACATTGTGACATTTTTCGCGAAAATTACTTTCATGCCTCATAATTTTTTGTATCTAGCCAATCAGATAATCACAAAAATCAGGTGCTAAATTTAGGGGCATGAAATTATTACTAAAGCCACTAGCTAACATTAGGGCACAAACTTTGGGGCATGAAAAGAATTTTCGATTCGCTAATTAAAGAAACCATCTGACTTCATATCATGTGAGTACCTTCTTTATTGACATCCCAGGATGGCCAGAAAAATTACTACGTATTGTCATTCTCGGAAAACTGCGACTCGGTCGCTCCACAATTAAGAATCTCACATAACCAATGATAGGTAACCTTTACGAAAGAGGGTGTTAGATTTTGCTGGTGGGTTATTAAGGCTTTCAGTTACTTGCGTTCAACGAAGGTCAGTAGGGTAAGTTACGTGATCAAGGACTTGATTGAACAATGATATTTACGGGTTTATAGGGTTTATAATGGGTATAGTGTTAGTGTATTTTATTACAAATGATGTATAATATTGTGATTTATTATTTTCTAAAGCAAATGAGAAAGCAAACAAGACATGTCTTTTTCACAGAATGATAATGCTGTTTATTTATAATAAAATTTTAATTGTGATTTATTTTATTACATAAATCTCACTTCTATATTTTCTTTATTTAATTTGATCCCTCTCTTTTATTTATCTAAACCCTCATAATTGTAAAATCTTTTTTCATCATTATTTTTCTCTTCCTTGATATATTTAATAAATTGGATTAGTGCAATTAATTATCAGGATGTTCATGTCAAGGAATTAATCATCCTATCTGTTTACACATGATATTCAGACAACTTATTTCTATTACATTATTAGGTTTAACAGTATGTAATTTTTTATATCTATTAGATATTAAAATTAAAAGCTTAACCAAGTTATCTACAATCTAAACCTAAGGTATAAAAGTTTTTTAAATAAACTTTTTCTGTATATTTACTTGTAAAAAATTTAACTAAGTTTTAATAAAGATAGAGGCATGGCCTTATTTAAATATTTAAAAAAACTTTTATATTTAATTTTTTTTTTTGGTGTTAAGGTGAGGCCTTGCTCATATCTTTATTAGTAATTTTAGTAACTTTTATATTTAATACAAGTCTAAATTTTTATAAATAAATTATAAAAATTTTATTAATAAAGATTATTATTTTTTGTATAAATAATAATAATATTGAAAATATCAATTCTAACACAATGGTTGAGCTATCATTTTCTGAGTAGTAGGTTCAGAATTCAAATCTTATTGGTAGCAAAATTTTAAAAAATAGTTCTAATATAACAACTTAAAAAGGATATCTGAAGTTGTAACTCTATAATTGTAATTGTATTAAAATTAATTTTAAAAATATACAATGTCATAAGAATAAATCCAAAAAATATAACTATAATAATAAATAAATATTAACAACTAGAATAAAGTATCTGAAATTATAATTCTATAATTTTGGTTATATCAAAACTAACTTTGAAAGTATGCAATATTATATAAATAAATCTGAAAAATATATATAAAATAAAAAATTTAATTGGAAATTCTAAATAGAGAAATAGTATAATTTTTAATATTATTAACTATAAAAATCTTAATTTAAAAAAAGAAATTTGAATAGTGTGAGGTCCGAAAACTTGACCGATATCACGTGGTGTAGATCTCGAATGTCAGATATGTCAGATATATCAGATATATTTGATATATCTGATATATCTGATATGTCACCTATAGCGCATAAGTGTGGTATCCTAAATAGATATGATATATTAAACATGTTCTATATGTTAGATAAAATTCATGATGTAAATAGACCAGACAGTTTATTATAAATAAAGGGCTTTCCACCCAGGAGAAAAGTAACAAGCAATACCCCCAAGTTAATACATTT